GAGTTTTTATACTACATCGAATGTTGGGTTCGTGCTACCTCATGAACAGCTTTTTATAATTGTCATGTTTTGTTGCACAAGGGCACAGCTATCAGCGTCTTTTCAGACATTGTATTAACATCTGTTCTGAGTGATTCCATGGGGTCAATGCAATCATTTCAGTTCTGAACTAAAATGCATCCTCATTGCAAGATTTGATCACATAGGGAGGTGGCCTGGGACACATTCTGTTGACTCTGTGAATGCAAAAGCATCCTGAGCCACATATGAAGGACCACCTTCTCCGTTGACACCCACTGACCCGCTCCAGTATAAATTCATTTTTATGGTTCTCAGTATCTAAACATGAATTTGTCTGTTCACACAATTTTAAAACCGACCACAACATAATGATTGATGCCCTTCTTAAATTGGTAAAAACATACACAAGTGATAGAGGTGATTATTTGCATATAGCGCAGGGAAGTGACATGCAGTCACAAGTGGTCACAGGGGACACCTCCAGGATGCATTTCAATGGGAGGTGTGAACAGACACACTTTGAGCTGTCCACTAGTGTTCAGATATCTCAGGACAGTTGTTAATACCAGGTCTAAAGGCCTTAGATTTTAGTGTCTTGCCCAAGGACCTTGGAACAAGAAAACTTAGGCAAGACAATAGAATGTGGACTGGAGGAGGTGGAGATAAAACTACCAACCCGTTGATGGTGAATAACCTGCACTACCTTACACAATAATATAACAGCTGGACACAAAAACTACCCAACTCATGATAAATCATCCAGAAAACTAATCCGACATGCTCAACAACTAACAATAACAAAAACTAATCCAACATACTCACACTCGCCATTTTTCTCTGTATTCATCATATGTCATGGCAACCAATCAAATACACCAAATATTTCTGGTTATTTCCTTTCTTCATTGAAAATATTGTGTTTTGTGCTGGATAAATTATAATTTCCATGTATTGGATAAGTGATTGTAATGACTATTTGCACCCAACAGAAAATTGCACACATTAACATATGCAATTTTTCATTTTTCATTTTTTTTGCTTCTCCAGTGCACAGACAGGTCATTCATCCATTACAGGGATAAAAAGGTAACAGACAAACAAACACAAATGGGCCTTTGTCTGCACATTATCTGCACTCCTGCTTTACGAGTCTCGGCGGCTCCCACACTCTGAGGTCGGTGTCATGAAACATTTAAACTGAAGCAGCACAGAAACCCATCAGCGTGTTAAATGTGTGGTGGGAACAGATTTAGAAGATTTAAAGTAATGGAATAATCACTGTGAAGGAGCACGATGAAGCAGGAGTCATGCAAGACTAGTTGAGGCGACCTTGGATTTCGTCAATACAATCAGCTGTGTCTATCTCCACACAGCGCAGGGCTTGTTGCCTTTCAGACAACTTCAAATCAAAACCAATCCCAGGCATGATTACAATGGATGGATTTTACACCAGTGGCCTGTGAATTAAGGCAACAACAATGAGGCGAGCCAGAAGAAAAATAGAATCGAGACAAAGATAAAAAAAAAGACTTGGGAAGAAAAGCACCAAAATCAGCTCAATTTGCATCCTTATCTCAGCAGAAGATATCGTAACCTTTGAAGTCATTTTACAGTCATTATGAACAGAGCTGCAATATGTTCCACACATTATTATGATTTATTATTTGTCCCTTAGGCTATAAGCATGTGTGTATAGAGTATACGCGGCTGTTTATGTGCGTGAAATTTGCTCGATGTGTATCAGCGTTGTATTCTGTCTCTGTATTGTGTAATTGTGCTGTCACTGAGGTGTGGAGAAAGCTGGGGGGGGGCAGAGAAC